AGAAAGAAAGAAAGAAAGAAAGAAAGAAAGAAAGAAAGAAAGAAAGAAAGAAAGAGAGAAAAAGAGAAAGAGAAAGAGAAAGACAGACAATAAAGCTGTCTAGCTGTCTCTTGCCAATGCAAACAGTGGCACCAGTCCAGCAAAGACCCATCGATGCACATGGATTTCTCCAAATTTTGCATCTGTGACTAGCCCAGGACTGGTCTCCAGCACTGATGGCTACAAGGGCTGACCCAAATCCCACACCTATTTCCCAGCAGAAGACATTGTTGGGCTCAAATGTGTTCAATCAGTCCAGCCCCTCCTGCCCTAATGTGCCTCCTTTGCTGGGTTATTTCATAAGCACAAAAATTTAGTCATACACTGTTTATTCATGCATGGAAATCCATCTCACAGTGGTCCAAAAGATCAGTTTCTAGCACCCAGCTAATGTGCTGTATGATGAAAACCTCATTAAAAGCTCTTGCCTTTCAAATTTGAAGCCTATTTTTACCTTTCAATCCTGAAACCCCAGTAGAGCGTTAGCACTGGTTTGATTCTTTGGGTGCATTTTGGCTGCTTTGTGTGGCTGCCCTTGTGTGTTCAGCCTGCACTTCAAAGAAATGATTCCTGCAGCAAAGGGAGGTTCTTTCTGCATTATTCACTGGGTTTGGATTATCTGTCCCTCCCTTTTTCTAGGTGTTTTCCCAACTTGCGGGTGTTTCAAACAAGAGCTGCATTTTGTCTTTTGTGCCAAAATCCAGGACTCCTCTTCAACCTCTTTCACTGTTGGTAAAATGGATATTAGAAGTGATTCAGGCATCTCCAACAGACTAATTTAATTCATAAGGATGCTGGTAGCCCTATCTTCTTCCCAATGGAATAAGAAGTTTTCCAGTGGCATCTGTAGGAGCTGCATGAGGCCGCTGGAGCTACAGCTAAAGGCTGCAGTGTGTGTGACAGAAGAGACCCCGCAAAATTGATTTGGAGCAAATTTCAGACCTGTGGAAGCCAGAGAATTAAACCATCAGGAAAGATGCCCCCTATCAGCAAACTCCTCATTTGCTTGAGGCAGAGTACTTGATTTCTAGAAAGCCAACTCAGGCCCTTGTATTTGGAAGCAAATCCATGTAAGGAACAGCTTTACTGAGCGTGTTTGGAGGGAGCTGTAGGTGGTCTGGAAGAATCTCAGCCCCTCTTGATTGTTAATGTATTAGTTAATAGCACTGTTGCTACCACCCTCACTTTCCCTCCTCAAAGGAGAGGAGGAAGAGTGTGGAGTGGACACAAGTCCCAGGGGCTGCAGCCTGGTGATTTTGTGGCAGTGGACAGACAGACAGCACTGGCACTTCCAGCCCAGGAGCACAAATCACTCCTGAGTTACAGGGAGGCTGTAAATTGCTCACCAAGGGCCTGATCCCGAACTCCCCGCAGAGATATCAGAGTCACGGGGAGTTTTCCGTGAGTAGGAAGTGGAGGAATGAGCTTCAAACATTCAGGCCCAGCTCCACATGGGTGGTCTGTTATGCCTGGATGGATTCCCACCGGCTCCAGCCGCGTTCCGAGGTAGTGGAAAGGCTCTTCCCAAACGCACCCCGATGCAGATCCAGCACTCTGAGCACTTACGAGGGACCCCAGTGAAAAGGCGAAGCCTCAGGCTCACCAAAATTATATTAATTCCACTTCAGAAAACATGGTTGGAGGGGAAAAGCTCCTGGACCACTTTGTAGAATCATTCAACAATCTTTGAGAGAAAAGGGGTTTCCATCTGCAGCTGCTCAGAGAGGAGCATCACAGTTTGTTCTGGTTTTTGGGTTGGCAGAGCAGCCGTCGGCTCTGAGGGGGATGTGGAGCAGCAGCACCCGAGCCAAGCAGATCAGAAACTAAATTCTAGAGCCATTTATCTCCATCATTCCCCGATACACTTTAAAATAAACCTCCGTTCCATTGTTCCCATGACCCCTCCATCCCGCTCCGCTCAGGAATGTTGGGATTCTCCACGTCCTCCCTCTTCTTGGGGGTAATTGTGGGATACACTAATTCTACAAACAATAAATTGTGCAAATAAATCATTTATTATCCTATTAAACGCAAACAAGAAGTGCACTGTCTGAAAGCCGGCAGGCTGAGAAACCCACGTAGGGGCTGGATATCGCTTCATCCACTAGCAGCCGATTTTAAATGGGAAAATAGTTAATTGGGGGGGGGTATTTTACAAAAAGTGGTGTGCGGAAAGCCCGCGGGATTCGTATAAGTTGTGCGGCCCGTTTATGCTGCAGCACAGCCTTTTTAATGTTTAATTCGAGAAAGAAATCGGGCCCTCAGAGACCCTCAACCCTCCCTATTTCGCTGCCGAGGCGTTTTGGCCCCTCCGCGCCGCTGTAGGAGGAAGGGGGCGTGGCCAGGGAGGAGACCCCGCCCCCTCGGCGCCCGCCATGGAGGGGCGCGCGGGTGAGCGGGGGCGCGCGGGGGTGGGCGGGACCGGGCGGCCTTGACGTCACCGCTGGAGGGCGGTGATGTCACTGCTGGGTGAGGGTGACGTCACTACTAAGGGGTGACGGAAGGCCCCCCCTTCACCTCCGCCTCCCTCCCCCCACAGGTGCCTCCTCCAAGTGGGACATCCGGGAGAAGGTTTGGGATCACCTGGAGAGCACCGGCCTGGCCGAGTTCCCGCGGCCCGTCCACCGCCGCATCCCCAACTTCAAGGTACCGCCCACCCCCCTCGTCTCCTGGTGCTCCGAGCCCCGTCCAGCCCGGCCTGGGACACTCCCAGGGATACAGAGGCAGCCTCAGTTCTGCGGGATACGTTCTGCCTCAGTTCTGCGGGATATGGTTTTCCTGTTTAAGATAAAATGGGTGCTGAAGTGGGTGGAGGAAGAGGCTTCATCGCGCCCTAAATCAGGGGATATCAGCTTAAATTACAGGAGGAGCGTGTGCTCTGCTAAACTGGAGCTCCTCAGTTAAGTAGCGAATCTTCTGAGTTTTCAGTGTAATCACTGTCAAGGGAGAGCCTTGTCCAGGAATTCTTCATTTTAAAAAAGTTTTTATGGCGTGCGTTTGAAGGAATCTATTTATATTCAGTCACTGAAAAGGAAAATTGATCTCTGCCTTTCTTTGATGAAAGAATAACTGTGATATTGATGTCTGTCTTTCTTTAGGTGTGAATGAGGGGGAATTTAGGCAAAGGGGCTGTACTTGGATCCCCTTTTTTTTTTGTGAGATAGCCAAGCACTCAGCTTGTGTGAGAGTTTCCCATAGAACCATCCCAAAATGAACAGTATGGTCCCCATATTTAAAATCTGGGGAAATCAGCCCCTCCAGAGGATGACAGGTTGCAAATTGGCATCTGTGCTGTGAGCTCCTCGGTGATGCACTGATATCCTCTGCAAACAGGGTGCCTCCCACGCTGCCACGAGGCTTCTGGCTTTGCAGGAGTTCAGAGCTGCCAGGACTGTAAAGATAAACCCCGATGCCCCCCAGAGGAACGCTCGCTTCCTCACGCTGGAAGTAAGTGAAGGTGTTCTCTTCTTCCTTCCTTTCCTGCCCCAGGGCTCTCTCCAGGCCTGCTCCTCTATCCAAGAGCTGGATGTGTTCAGCAGAGCGCGGGAGGTTAAGGTGGATCCCGACAAACCTTTGGAAGGGGTTCGGCTGGCAGCTCTGCAGGTAATGGCAGCTCTGCAGGTAGTGGCACCTCTGCACCCCTGAGGAGGGGAGTGCAGAGCTTGGCAGCATCCTACCATCAATACCTGCCGTTTCTCAGGCAGGTTGTTCATGTGAGAAAGAATATCTCTGCCCTCCTGGCAAATGGCCAAGGTGCAGGTAAGGTTTGGGGAAATTAATGTGTTTCTGCAGAGCAGTAGCTGTTTCACCATCGCTGTGTTCTTACTCCCCAAAACACAATTTGAGGAAGCCTTGCCTCAAATTATCACAAGGCGAATGTGTGACAAACTTATCTCAGACCTGTGCATGTTTAGGAGCTGATCTATGTCGCTTATTTGTGGACATGCACTTTGGATCAATAAGTATTCACATAATTTCAGGATGATTTGGTTTGAAAGAGACCTTCTAGCTCATCCAGTGCCACCCTCTGCCATGGGCAGGGACACCTTTCATGATTCCAGGCTGCTCCAAGCCCTGTCCAACCTGGCCTTGGACACTTCAGGGATGGGGCAGCCACAGCTTTTCTGGGCAACCTGTGGCAGGGCCTCCCCATCCTCACAGGGAAGAATTTGTTCCCAGTATCCCATCTAACTCTGCCCTCTGGCAGTGGGAAGCCATTCCTCATCATAAAGACATTATAAGATACACCTTAAAAAATATGTAAAGATACACCTTTAAAGGGGGAATATCTTTAAAGGGGTGTCCTTAAATATCTTTAAAGGTTAAAGGTATGTCTTACTTTTTATTTCTTAAATAAACCCTTGTCTGGAATTTTCCTGTAATGGAGGGGATGAATCTGCAAGCACTATACAATAAACAACACTAATTACTCTCTAGCAAATTAGATGATTGGCCACATAATTTTTACTGTGTGACAGTAAAATTATTTCTTTAGTGTAAAACAAGCCTTTTAATGTGGCAACTTCTATTCCACAGGCAAGGAAGACTTTGTTGGTTCCCACACCACGCCTGAGGACTGGGCTGTTCAATAGGATTGTTCCACCTCCAGGTGCAACTAAGGAAGTCCTGAGAATATGTGCCACGTCTCAGGTAGGAATGAAAGATGAGGGAGTCCTGAATTAACTCATGGATGACTGTGGTGTTATGACAGACCACTTGGAATTTGAAAAAAACAGATGCTACTTCAAATATAATTCTGCCACGATGTTATTTCTGGGTCTGTGTACAGACCCAGAAATTATTAACTGCCATTAATAATTTTTAAATAATGGGGAAATTTAATCTTCTTGTTATGTTTTGTTAGCAGAGTGGTATTGATTTTTTCTCAGTACTTTTTGGAACATTATGAGCAACTTTTATAGCTGAGATAGATCTTTCTAACAAATCATGCTCCTAAGAAATAATTTATTTCTAATAAATCATGCCTCTGTATTTTATAATATTGAGCTACTGAAACCTGTTTAGTGTTTACAGTTTTTGCATAATCTTGATAGAATATTAGGTGTTATTAAGTAGGAAAGATAAGTTCTTTTAGAATACTAGGTCTGAAGAAACATTAATTCTGGCATCTGCCTCAGTGGAGGCACAAAAACACGGTAAGGTTTCGGTCCTGCAGTGTGGTCTGTTGCTGCCCTCTCGTGTTACAATCTCAAACTGTACAGCTGAAGGCTTTTGGCAGAGAAACCTCTGTTATTTTATATCCCTCTTCAGCTGCTATGAAAAGCTAACCTGTACAAAAAGAACAGGCCAGTTTATAGATTTATTTCCTTCTTTATCTCCTGCTCAAGGCACTAAAATTCTACAGTAATCCCGTATACAACTGAGGTTGTAAATGGGTGGTAATTAGTAGTGACTTTCTTTGTTGCAAGTTCTATTGAGGTCATTAACTAATTAAGCTTTTCAGGGTTGAAGAGCACTTTTGAAAGAGACCTTTCTCTTGCCTGTTTCTGTGATCTGTGATTTTACCACCATGTGTCTGGTTTTTCCCCCACCCAGGCCCACTAATGAATAAATGCTGTTGGCAGTTTATATTTACAAAGCACTGTGCAAACAGTCCTTACCACACTGCTGTGAAGTGGATAATGAACATTAATACTGATGGTCAGCCACAAATTACTGAACTTTTTGGTTTTGTGCTCTGCACAGAAGATGTTTGTCTTTTTATTGTGAGGATTGACTTAGCACGAACTTACATTGATGTGAGGGGGATTTAACCTGTACACATGTACTGAGTGAATGAATCACTTTAAAAGTTATAAACCTGTGATATTTGAAAGCCCAAGTAAAGATAATTCTTGATTTCTGCAGCTCTGGACCCAATTTTGTTAGGATGTGTTTTTTAGAGAGAAGATTGAAGAGAGGTGGGTTGAGATGAGTGGGGAGAGAGGGAAAGAAAAAAAAAATCATTGTATCAGTTTGTGTGACTTAAGACTTCTTTATGCTGTAGCTGCCTGTGTCTAAATTAACTTTGTGATTTGTATGTGAGACTTAATTCAGGAATTTGTAGTACTCTGGTATGAGTTTACATAATTATGATTCTAAGTTAGTAGTGCTAAGGTAGGAAGTGTCTGTTGCCCTCATTTTTAGGAATAGATTTCCAATAAAGGGTTTCAAAATATGAGGTTTTGATCCTAAATAAGTAACCTTGCTTAAAAAAAGTGCCCACCTCCCTCAGCTTTCCTTGTAGTGTGCCAAAATTCTTGTTACTGTAGTAGGGAATCTATTCTAGGATTCCCTAGAGGATAACATTCCAGACATGTACAGCTTGGCTATACATGGAAGAGACACTTTGAAAGAGGGAGTTAGTTGGATTTATCAAAATCTCCTGGATTTCTGCCTCAGTGGCTGGAAGACTCTGCACTGAGTGAACCTAAAATGTTTTCCTTGCAGGGTGTAAAAGACTACAGTGTGCCCGTGGGGCTGGATGGGAGAGCACGAGTGGACTTGGTTGTTGTGGGATCCGTGGCTGTCTCCGAAAAAGGTAAGGAAAAGCCTTGTCAGCTTTTCAGGAGGAGGGTCCTAAGTCACAATTCCCAGTGTCAGTAGGATACACCACGTGTTCCTTTTGGCAGAGATGAATATATCCCTGGAACTGAGTTGTGGTCTTGAGTTCTGTCTGTTCTGTGTGACAAATCCCTGATCCCAATCCAACCAGGAAGGAGCAGTGCCTCCAGCACTTAGTGGGCAGGCAGTAGTGTGGTTTAGGGCATGTGGGCCTGTGCTTTGGCTTTCAAGAGAACTATTAAGGCAAGCAATTATTTTTGTTTTGAAAGAATCAAAGCAGGCTCCCTGTTCAGAGGATCTGCTTCACTCACACAGGGTGTGTGACAGCACACACATTAGACCTGCTGAGTCAGTACCTCTTTGGGGATCAGATTTTGCATTTTCTACTGTTTTGAAGACCTGCTGCTGGTGAAAATTTTTCCACTGACTTTACCCATTGCCTAAAAACATGTTTTTATGTGTGTGACCCAGACTCCTCTTACCCCATCTTAACCTATGTTGGGCATGAATAGAAGGTTCTGAGTACAATGGGTAAATAACCTTCTGTGTTAAGTGGACTAGGTTTGATTTATTCTGAATGGGGGTATCCTGGAATCCTTTAGGAGTTCATTGAAACTGATGTTTTATTTCATTTCAGTGCTGATTTCAAGGAAAGTTGCATTCTGTGAAAGATGCTGACCTGAACTTTTCCTGAGTTACAACTCTGTGCTTGGTTTATCTGTTGCAGACTGCTTAGTTTAATTACATGATTTTAACAGTTAACCAACTTTCCATTCTGCTGGTTTTTGGGTTTTTTTTTTCACTGTTTAGTTCTATGTATTTTAGGCTGGAGAATTGGAAAAGGGGAAGGTTATGCAGACATGGAATACGCAATGATGGTGTCAATGGGTGCAGTGCAGGAGGATACACCTGTAGTAACCATTGTGCATGATTGTCAGGTAAGTTAAAATATCCCCTCTCAAATAATGAACCAGAACTGTGTGATGCTGACTGGTCTGTCTGAAGAACAGACATGGAATGATGTTGGTTTGGCATCTTTATTTCCACTGTCTGATGTATTTTCATATGTTGCAAGACATCAGGAATGGTGCACAATTTTAGTGAATTTGTTTTTAACCACTTATCAAATCTCTTGTTCCTTGTAGGTGGTTGACATAGAAGAAGAGCTTCTTGATGATCATGATTTAACTGTGGATTATATCCTCACCCCAACAAGAATTATCAAGACTAATTGCAAGAGACCCAAACCTCAAGGAATAATATGGCATAAGGCAAGTTCCCTCTGCTAACAGTGGTACCAACATCCTGGTGGTAAACCCCACATTTTTGAATATAAACACATTTGTTGTGTTAGAAATACTTGGAAAAGGAACAGATCTGTTTTTCAGGTGAAACAAAACAGCAGCATCCATTTTCAGCGGGTTTTAAGTGGGAATGGTGAGGAGGAGAATGTATCACTGCAGCTGAGGTTGCTGTACCACATGGATTCCCCAAAAAAGTGCTGTTCCATCCCTGGAAGTGTTCAAGGCCAGTTTGGATGGCACTCTGAGCCACCTGGTCTAGTGGAAGGTGTCCCTGCCCGTGGCAGGGGGGTTGGAACTCGTGGGTAGAGTATGTGCTGCTCTGGTTATGAAAGCAAAACATGACCTGGTGGTGGTACGTTCCTGTTTATGTAGTGGATTAACTTTCCAAGGATAAATTTGTTTCTGGAGCTCATTTTCAGGTAGAGGAACAGTGACTTTATACTGTTTCAAACCTGGAATCTTTATTTATTGATCATTAATTGTATTATGGGTTTGCCCTTTCTCCGTCCCGCCCAGATTGTCAGAAACTTCCTCAGCTTCACAAATAGTTTCAGAAAAGCATTTAGTGAATTGTTTTACTGGAAGTTCATGCTGGGAAAACTTTTCCTTTGTTATTGGATTTTCATTTCTGAAAACATCCAGTTAGGGAGCAGACACAATCCTGCATGATTGAGTAACAGTAGGAATACTGAAATGAGAAATATTGTGCCTGTGTCTTGCAGAAACTGCCGAGGAATTACTAAGGGAATACTTGTAGGGAAGTCAAGAGTTGTTTGTTAAACAGTTGCCAAACAGCAAAAAGAGTTAAATTTCTTTAGGTAATGTATCTACAACAAACAATTCTAGCCAGCACTATTTTTATTCCCATGGTGGGAGAGCATTTTACCCTGCCTGTGGTTATGAATTTGAGGTTATAAATAAATAAATAACAGCTCTGTCTGTACTAGTGCATTTTTTCCATTGAATTATTTTTGAATTGTAATTTTTTTTAGGATATTATTGAATGTAATTGTGTTGAAGGCCTACCCCTTGTGCTCCATCCATCTTGCCAACATACTTCTGATCACAGTTTGTCTGTCTTAGTGTCAGACTTCTCAGTAAGTGGCCTTGCTGACGCTTTTTCCTTTTTTTTTTTCTGTCTGATTCCCCTTAGCTGGAACTGAATTTTCTCCAGGTTCACTGAGAATGGAGCACTATTGATGCTTTATGTGAATACTTGAATGTTGATTTAACACCTAAAGCTGGTTTTGGCTGTTCTTTGGAGTGTTCTGTTGCTTAGATAGGAATATTGGAGAATACCAGACAGTTTTGGGAGAAGAAAAAGGTGTAGTGTCTATATGAAGATGAAAGAAATGGCCATTATTCTTTCACAGGGAGATAAGTGACATTTATTTTGTTTGTGCTTGTGGTGGTAACTCTGTGTTCATCTCTTGCAGGGAGTGTTATGGAGGTGGGAGGTCTGGTTAACCAGCAGGGTGTTAAAAAGGCAGGATTTGATATGGGTTATTTAAATGTTTGTCCTTTGGCTTGTCCTGTCTACTTCTACGTCCTTTTCTCTCCATCCTTTTCTCCTTCAAATCCCAGCTTTGCTGGTGCATTCCTGTTCCTCAGAGCAAAACTAAATGAACCAAGAGGTAGTGAGTAAATAAAGAACCCACTTCTAAATAGGGTGCTTTGTCAACAGAAAGTAGCTTAACTTTATTGTTGAGATGTGTGATGTGTAAAATACACTGTAAAAAGGTTTATCCTTGGGGAACATGGCTGGATCAGGCCAAGACAATGATTAAGAGCTTAAATTACAGGTGTTTGCAAACATGGGATTAGAGCTAAGTGTTGTTGTGAAGGATGTGCTGCCCTGAAGCCAGCAGGATAAAGAGCCAGTAACACATACACAGTGTTTTCAGCTCCAGAGGGGTGAGGAGGTGCCTACCCAGCAAACAAAGCCATGTCTCCAGGCTGCATTTCTGTGCTTAAGGAAGTGCTGGAGTGTTTATGGTTTTTTATGTGCTATTTAAAGACTTTCTGTAAAGTATAAGACCCACAATATCATTAATAGCAAGTAATCATTATCAATATCAGTGCTAAACACTCTGGAAACACTTGTAAATCCAAGTACTAGGAGGTTTCTATGGGTAAGTTTTCTGCCTCTGAGTTTTGAGAAATCAATATGAGTTATTGGAGGGCAGCAAGAGCTGCTGAGAGCTGAGCACGCTGGAAAACTTTATTTGGATCCAGTGGAGAATTATTTGGCTTCGTCTGTCTTGAAAATCTAACCCATTGTTTCTGGGAACTCTAAATTCATGAAATGACTTACTTTCTCATTTAATATTTTCTATGGGTAGCTGTGATCTTTATCTGGGACACTGTGTATTATATTTTGTCACAATTACCAAGTTATTTGTGCTGTGCTTATTTTAAATTGCAACTATACAGACCAATTAAAATATTTGGGGTCATGAAGAGGGAAATGAGAGTACTTGGTGGAAAAATCACTATATTCTAGCAAGCATTTCCTTCTGGTTTTTAAATCATTCTTTTGCTGAGAATTTTATAGTAGTAGGAAAAGATTTTTTCCTGAAGTGAAATGAACTGGGGGGAATCCCTGGGTCCAGTGCTGTGGCAGAGATGGAAACTATCTGACAACAAACAGCTTCTGAGTTGGATCTGTGATAGAACATTTGGAAAGTAACGCTCAAAAAGTTCACACATCCAAGCTGGCAAACCTTTAGCAGGGACATAGTGTTGCCATCAGAGGAAAATTGCTGTTAGTTTAGCCAGGGTTTTGTTTTGCTGTGTGTTTTGGAGGGATAGTGTGAGCAGGGCACACTTCCACACGTGGTTAAACATCTCAACACCTTTGCAGATCTGACCCTTGCTGCAGAGTCTATGGAATCCAGTTTTCTCTGATGGATTCCAAATGTGGGTTGCATAAGTCTCTCCTGAGGGACATTAACAGACTTCACGGGCTGCCAGCTCCCAGAAATATGCCCTGGGATTGTGTGCACATATTTGGACATTTCGTGCAAATGAATGATAAAATGTTCAACTGTGCTGGCCTGTCCTGGCTGTCCTGGCATTGTCTGTGCTTTAAATCCCTGTGAGCTCAGTGCTCCTTGAAACAAGCAGCTGGTTAAGGACACAGCGTGAGAAGTGGGGGCTGTTCTTGAGGTCTTTATGAACATTCTTGGGTCAGAGACCCCTGAGGGTGGGCGAAAATGAATCTTTCAAACACCTTCTGCTTACCAGCCTGGAAGGGCAGGTGGATCTGCTGTAGAGACTTTTTAGTCTTGTTCACAGCCTTCCAGGGCAGCAGCATCAGTCTCCATCTTAGAATAATGGAATGGTTTGGGTTGGAAGGGACCTTCAAGCTCATCTCATTCCCACCCCCTGCCATGGGCAGGGACACCTTCCACTAGCCCAGGTTGCTCCAAGCCCTGTCCAACCTGGCCTTGGACGCTTCAGGGATGAGGCAACCACAGCTTCTCTGGGCAACCTGTGCCAGGGCCTCACCACCCCCACAAGGAACAATTTCTTTAGTATATCTAAACTAAATTTCCCTTCTTTCAGTGTGAAGCTCCTTGTCCTGTCACCAGAGTTCCTGATGAAGAGTCCCTCTCCAGCTTCCCTGTAGCCCCTTCAGATACTGGAGAGGACCATGAGGTCTCCACACAACCTTCTCTTCTCCAGGCTGAACAGCCCCAACTTTCTCAGCCTGTGTTCATGCAGGAGGCACTGCAGTCCCCTTGTCAACTTTGTGGCCTCCTCTGGACTTGCTCCAACAGTTCTATGTCCTTCTTATGTTGGGGACCCCAGAACTGTGCACAGGATTCCAGGGTGGGTCTCAAGAGAGCCACATGTTCCTGTAGCAGTGGTATGTGCACGTGGGGAGCTGTGAGGAGCAGAATTAAATACCAGGCCCAGCACAGTCTCCGGTCCAGAGTTGTCCTTCCCTCATCTGCAGTGCACCAGGACTGCACCTCTGCTCCTGCCAGGGAAATTAAAGTGGTGTTTGGCTTGGCCTGTGCTGTATCAGGGGTCAGCATTACTCACTCTGACAGAGGACAAACACATCCTTCATTTTCCCCAGCAAAATATTGAAAGTGGCTCCATTCACTGTTCTGGGAGAGCAGAGGGTGAAGGGAGCCCTGATGCTCCAGGAGGGATGTTGCAGCAGTTCAGCTGCCACTCTGTTGTTTTGGGATCAGACCAGGTGTCATAAGAGTGGAGGCTCTGGGTTAAGTGCTGGGAGATTTGTGTTGGCACTCAGCATCCAAGACTCTTTTCCTCGGGATTCTGTCACAAAGGGGCCACATTTTCCTCCTCAGCTCCTTTCCCATAGCCCAGTAATCATGTGCCAGAAGAATTCATGCACCCTGCTGTCCTCTTTCTCCAAGGCTCTCCCAGCTATGGCAGGGAATAGGCAGTGGTGTTAAATGATTAATTGCCTTTGGTGGAGTTATTTTTAACCAGAATCACTTCAGTTAGTGAGTTTACAGCCCACAGGCACTTCTGTTGGCCAACCCCAGAGGGCTGAAGTGTGGAACTGGCCTGGGAATTGGTGGTCAAGGGATAATAGGAAACTTCTTCAGCTGGTTTTGCTGCCAAAGCCAATCATCGAGCTAGATCCCAACACTCAATACAAAGTTTACAAACATCAATAAATGGTTTGGCCTTGACTTTATAGGGATGAGAGGAGCAAGGGAAGAAGTTTTAACTGCAGGGATTGCCCAGGTCCGTATAGCGGGATCAGCCAGACTTGAGGTGGAACCCTTATCCCTTCCATCCTGGCTTAGCCTAAAGCAGTAAGCAAGGATAGGGATAGACAAGGATAGAGAGGACTGACCAGCAGGCACAGGACCAAGAAACGTGCAGCTTGTTTGAAAGAGAGGAGGAATATCTTTGGCCTCTCTCCACATGGAAATAAATCATTGCAATCCTCCACAGCTCACAGGACAAAAGGAACTTTTTGCATGATCATAATTAGCAACACATTGTACTACCACAGAGTTCTTTTGTTTGCTCTTTTGCAACAGAGCAGAGCAAGCTTTTTCCTCTCCTCTGCCACCCACTGCCCCCTTTGCCCTTTTGGTTCTCACCCCCCTCACCCCAAAAAAAGCAGTGAATTTCTTCGCTGAATTGAAACTGAATTCCCAAACTGGCATAAGAGTAGGGGAAAATGGGGAAGGATTTAGAAGGTTTGACCCAGCTGAAATATTCTCCTAGACCCCAGGGACAACAGCCCGTAAGGTAAATCCTCTGTGTCTCTTGTGGCAGGAAGATGTCAATTGACAATATCAAAACTTGTCTAATGTAGTTTTTTTACTGAATGTTTCCTAATACAAAAAAATCCAAGTGCCAAATCAGCTGCCTTTGTTGCTTTGGCACTGTAAAGGCTACTTAGTGTTATGTTTGCACAGGGCTGAACTGAAGGGAATGAAAGAAATCACTTCATGATTGTGTTTGATCAGAACTTCAGCTTTTAAAGAGAACAGTTCACAGCCCTTACAAAAATCACAGAATCACTGAGGTTGGAAAAGACCTCTGAGATCACTGAGTCCAACCTGTGCCTGATCCCCACCTTGTCACTCAGCCCAGAGCACTGAGTGCCACATCCAGTCATTCCTTGGACACCTCCAGGGATGGGGGCTACACCACCTCACTGGGCAGCCACTTCCAGTGTCTAATCACCCTTTTTGTGAAGAAATTCCTCCTAAAACATTTCTGCTGTTGTAACTGCATCTTCCTGAGTTTGCTAGGAGCCTGAACAGTAGCTCCAAGAGCTCCAGTCTGATACCAAAAACTTCTTGTCCCTTTAGTGAGAGGAGATGCCATGTTGAAGTCTCTTAGAGAGTGTGCTGGCCCCTGGATTATCTAAATCCACTCCTTGAAAGACTGGGAATTCCAGAGATCATCCCCTCAGTGCCCATCTCTGATTGCCTTAATCTACAAAGTGCTGAGGGTTTGCCCATTGACCTTTCTAACCAAACACTCAGTCCCTGCCTTGGCAACTGAGTTTAATTTCAGGATGAAAGGAACTCGGTACACTCTGTGAGAGGTCGTGCTTTGGGCCCAGGAGTTGCATGAGAATAGAAAAATGTTTTTCCTGTTTGGTTTAATTAGCATAGAGCTTACATTTCACATAGAGATTTGACAGAGGACAGCAAGTGTTCCTAATTGGTGGCCAGTAAAAGCAAAGTAAGATGGCTTCAGCCCTTGGTTTGATGTTGTGTCACTGGGGAAGGGGAGTTTGCTTTCAAACACAGCAGTCAGAGAAAAACATGTCAGTCCAAGAATCCACAGAGCAATAACTCTGCAAACTCTGAGAAAGGCAGGTACCTTTCAGAGTGTGGAGGCTCCCCGAGCCCCAGAGGAAGCCCTTGCCTCCACTGCCTGCCAGGTCAGGCCAGATTTGTTGTTTCAGTCACAAAACTTGCTTGATCCCAAACACCTTGACCCCAGGTCTGCAGTGTGACAGAAGGGAGGTGGCTCTGCCCACACTGGTTAGTCCTAATCTGCTGTTTGATATTATATCAACAGAACTAGGACAGGCTTTTTGTAAGTTATGCTTTTATTTAGTTTCAGCCTGAAATGAAACCTGCTTGTTTGCTCCTCAGAAGAGGAGCCCTGGGAACATTAAGGATACTTCTGTTGACTGAGTTTCCTGTTACCTAATCCTGATGTTGCCCCCACCCTGTCTTGGGTTTTCCTCGAGTCACTTCAGGACTGGGCTGCTCTCCCCAGAGAGCTGTGCATTTTAGACTTGATGTTGTGCAGATCCAAACTTACTGTGACTGTAACTGTAGAACCAGGAATTCAGGGGCTCTGGGATGAGTGTGATCTGAGCTGGGAGATCTGCACTAGCCAGGATATGCTGGTTCTGGTCCAGTCCAGCCTGCTGAGAGGTGGCTCATCAGCTTGAGTGCAGTATCCTGCTTGCTCACACATTGCAGGCTACTAGCTTGGGTCTCTGCTAGCTCAGGCATCACCTCCCCAGGCTCTGTTTTGCTCCCTGAATTTCAGAATTGGATCTTGTGTTGATGGATGTTCTACTTGTCCAGCTGCCAAGTAGGAATTATTCCTCCTTCCAGCTGCACTCTGCAAGCCAAGAGCTCGACCACATTAGCTGGGGAACCACTGCATTTCCTGCCAGTCTCTGAGAACAGCCTGGGGCATCTCATGCCTCAGATGGATGGGGTTTAGCTGTTGAGGGGAAGAGCCCTTCCAGAAAAGCTGCCTGTGAGCTGGGGCTGGCTGGCTGGAGGGGCTGGAGGGTTCACAGTTGGAAGTGCAGTGTCCGGGCGCTTCCGTTCCATGCTCCAGCCCAGCGGGGTGATGTGGGATCTGCTGAGGAGCTGCGGGGGGTGTGTGGGGTCGGATGACAAGGGGGAGGCTGTGGGGATTTGCCACATCCAGAGAACGTGCCTCCAGCTGGGCCCACATCCATGGGAGCCCCTCTCCAAGGCACGCTCCCGCTGCAGGCTTCCACCATTGTGTGACCCAGCCCACGGGATATCCTGTTTGGGGGGAAAGAGCACAAGGAGGTCTGTGGAATGGAAGTGTCTGATGGACTGTGAGCCTGGAGGATCCTGCCAGAGCAGGAGCACAGGCCCTCAGTCAAAGCAAATACAGAGGGATAACAAGGAGAATGCAAATCTGAAAGCTCTGATAAATAAATGTCAAATTGGAATAGTTCTCAGTTTGGGTCTGATTTGCCTGCTGGATGTACATTGTGCTGCTTGCTTAAAGAGAAACTAATGTTTATTTTTGTCCTGCAGTGTGCATTTAGGAGCAACTCCACAATCAGGCCAACAATTAGGAGCATTTGGAATGCTCTGGCACTCTGCATTGTAGCTGTATAATAAGGTTCCTCTCTTTTTATGGCACAGATGGGTCCTGATGGTCATCATCTTTTTCTGGAAGGCGAGAAATCCTATAATTATGTGTCTTCCTCCTTTTTAGGTCAGCTATGACATGCTGGGAAAAATCCCCATCCTAAAGACTCTTCGATCCAGGGAGAAGCAGATGGGCAAGGATGTTACTCTCCGAGATGAACATCCACACTTGGCAAACACCACCAGAGCAGCAGCACTGAACAAGGAGATGGCTGAAAATACACAACCACAGGCTGCTACAGGCTCAGCTCAAATGGGACAACACCATGTTGAAAGTGATCCTTTAAGTCCCAGATTAGAGGGATCTGGCACCATTACTACTGTGTATGTGGGGAACATACCTCCCAGCCTGAGAGTGAGCGAGCTGAAGTGTGCTCTGAGGGAATTCCATGTGACTCCTTTCAGATTGAATTGGCAGGGAGCACAGCACAGGGCTTTTCTTGATTACAAGGATCAAGTAACTGCAGAGAGAGCTGTAACCTCCTTGAAAGGCCTGAGCCTCGGGGGGAACACTCTGCGAGTGGAGCTGGCCAAGAGTCAGAGGAACAAAGGACAAGGAGAAATCAATAGTCAGAAATGAGAATTAATAGAGGAGGGGGGAAAAAAAAGGCATGCTTTCATTGTTTTGTGAGAAGCCAACCTAAGTTTTCAAGGTTGGCCTCTGGCCTCTGCAGGCCAGACAACACAGTGCAAAGCCAGCTTTGTGAACAAATGAGGCCTCACTCCTGCGTTTGTACATGCAAAGGGGGTTTGTCCAGGCAGGTGACACAGGAGCCACTTCTCCAAATGGCTCCTCACAAAGTATCCACATTTTCTGTCTTTATTTTTCATGGGCTGATTTGCTCTGTGGTGTGTGCATTTGTTAGGCCTGGATGACAAACCTGCCCTGTGGTAGCTCTGTACAAAGCCACATGCAGCAAGGTGGTTACATTCATCTACAGTCATCTAAAGATTGGACCTGGAAATTTATACTTTAAAAGCCAGCGGCAGGAAATCTGTCCTGAGGGTTACAATTCTATATATTAAAAAATGGGGTTTGCCTTGTGGGAGTTTTAAGTTTATTTTTTATAAAAATTGCCAGGGGGAGAGAGATTGTCCTTTTTATGCTTTTGAAGAATGGCTGTGGAAACACTGGCTTAGCCATGGAGTTCTGGTAGGAGCTGTTGAACATCAGGTAGGAGAGGTTGTAGCTCTTTCCTCAGCTTTTTGTTAACTCAGCCCTTGGTAAACCTTCTATTTCTTATTTCAGTGTGACAGAGCAAAGCAAAGACCAGTTTTCTCTGCTTTTCCTCAAAACTCTTTTTGATGGATCAGATAATTATAAAAAAAGCTGCTTTTCCTGATTCTCTCTCTTATAATGTGATGTGATTCCCTTGCCTCTGTGAGATTACATTAATATTAATTACTGTAGTGAGAATGAAAAGCAGACAGATCGTGGTCAAAAGTTGTTGGTGCCTAGTCTGGTGTGGAATTGTTTGGAAAATTGCTGGAGATAAAGCAAAGCCTGTTTCTCTGTGCCTTGGTCACCACCAACGTGGTCTTCCTGCCCCCACAACATCAGTGACAAGGGTTACTGGCAACTCCTCCTGGTCCAAGTGCTCCCAGGCACTATCCTGGACAGTAAAATTTGCAAACACATGGACATTGCCTTCCAGTGTAAGAGAAAATGATGATTTATTTGGTGTGGTTTTTATTACGATTTTTTTTTCCTTTGGTTTCCTATTCCTGAAAAACAAGTTGAATTTTGGCCGAACCATCCTCTCTAAACAGAAGCACTTTTGCCAGTGATGCTGGGCACATAGTCAAAGTAAGCATCCAAATGGATATTTTTTTTAAAGTATGAGTTGGAAACATTTTTTTTTTTTTAGCCAGAGAGCACTGTTAAGTGTATTTTAAGCACATTATTATGCCTCAAGGGTCAGACATTTCATACAGAATCAAATAAAAAGTTCTCATCGTTATCATGTGCCTCTGTAGGGAGGGGCTCAAGGAAAGCATTGGAGCTGCAGTACTGCCTCCAGCTCTGGGGTTCCAGCACAGTAAGGACATGGAGCTGTTGGAGCAAGTCCAGAGGAGGCACCAAGATGATCAGAGAGATGGAGCATCTCTGCTGTGAGGAAAGGCTGAGAGAATTGGGATAGTTCAGCCTGGAAAAGGTGACCTGATTATGGCCTTCCAAATGGAAGATAACTCCTGCTCCAGAGGGACGGGGACTATTTACAAGGGCCTAGAGTGACAGGACAAGGGGGAATGGCTTCAAACTAGCAGAGAGGAGGTTCAGATTAGATATTAGGGAGAAATTGTTCCCTGTGAGGGTGGTGAGGCCCTGGCACAGGTTGTCCAGAGAAGCTGTGGCTACCCCATCCCTGGAAGTGTCAAAGGCCAGGTTGGACGGGGCTTGGAGCAACCTGGGATAGTGGGAGGTGTCTCTGCCCATGGCAGGGGGTTGGAAGTGGATGATCTTTAAGGTCCCTTCCAACCCAAACCATTCTATGAGCCTTTTTTAAGGACAACAAAAGAAAGGTTTCCGGAAAAAAATAAGTTGTTCAATGCTCTGAAATGCTCTTTCTCCAGCTCAAAATGATTTCCAGTGTCACAGTCTGAATTGAAACATCAGCACTGCAGAGCCCTCTGTGTCTCATTTCAGTGCCTGTGCACGTCAAGGGGGAGAGTCAGGGGTTGTGTTACTGCTAAAACACACCCACCCCATCATGAGCTTCAAAAACAGAGGAAGGAAAAGCAAAAAAACTAATTATGCATCACTACCTGCCCCTTCCAAATGATGGCAAATTAAGTAATGTGATCATTGGATGTGCCTTTTCACTCTGTGAGGCTTCTTGCTTTGGTGAAGATGTCCAGGTGACCTTAGCAGTTAAAAGCCAGTTACTCTGCCAATGAAAACTTCCAGCATCTCAAACTTCCCCTGTTGTGTTACAGATGGAACCAGCCTGTTCTGGTCAAATTTGTGGGAATTACATCCTCTCCCTTATTTCTCTTCTTAACATCTGTAGGTTCAGAGCAAATATGTTTATGTGCTTTGTAAATGTGTTAGGTTTGCTTGCTTTCCTTGTCAGCATTGGGTGCAGTCAGGGGCAGGTTTTGGACAAACATGTCTGGATGTTTTTCTGTTTGCAGTTGTGGTTCTGGCTGAGCCCCACAGGTGATCAGTGCTGGATCTGTATCCAGAGGAACAGATCTGGTTCTTTTCCAGCCTGTCACTTTTTTCTGTCCTGTATTTTGAGGCCATATCTCAAAGGACTTACCTAATACCCTGTTACTTTCCCAGTTAGCAGTTGAACCCCAAACCACACTATGGAGGAGATATTAACTAGACAGGTATGCAACAGGTTAGACATCAGGAAGAATTTCTTCATGGAAAGGGTGGTCAGGCATTGGAAGTGGCTGCCTGGGGCGGGGTGGAGTCCCCATCCCTGGAGGTGTCCAGGGAACAACTGGACGTGGCACTCGGTGCTCTGGGCTGGGTGACAAGGTGGGGATCGGGCACAGGTTGGACTCAAGGGGCTGGGAGGGCTTTTCCAACCTTTAGGATTCTATGAACTCTATTTAGGCTCATAGAGGAAAAATGATTCCTATAAAGTTAAGCTCACACTCTATCATTAGCATTTTGAATGGAGTGGAATAATTATTCTTTGATCCTTTTACTTTTAATTCAGGTTATTAGTAAATGTCAAGATCTTTCAGGCTTTGCCATCCTAAAGTCATTAAGTCCCACTCTGAAGTCAGTGCAGTTTCTGCCTGGGAGAGCCAGGGAAGCAGGGGCAAGGATGGGGCTCTTCCTGCTATTTGGGCAGTTGCTCATCTTCAGCTAAAAGACATTTCAGTGCAGGACACCAAATTGCTATTTAATTAAATAACACAAGAATGCCCAAGGCACAGGCCTACACAGCCTTCTGGTGTCTTCAGCTGTGTGATGTGGATTTCTTCTTGTGGGCTGACCCAAGTTCCTCCTTGAGGAAACAGCAGATCCTGTAGAAAAAGTGAATGGGGCACTCTGCATCTCTTAGATCTATTGTTCCAGGCTCTCTGCATGCTCACGAAGGCATCAGTTAGGGAAAAGTCAGAAGGGACTCATGTTTAAGTCCACAAAACTCTGAAATGCAATAGAATTTATTGAATCCTTGGACTCTGATCTCATAATAAAACTCGAGGAACTGAAGCCTGCTTATGTTTTACTTTGGCCTGGGCCAAGACTGTGCAAGATACCAACAATCAAACCATAAAGTCCGTGCCCTGAGGAATTGACTGTCTGAATTAACAGGCTTTAAAGATGAGAATATTAAGTCATAATTCTTCATTCTGTGCCTGCTGTAGCTGTGGCCCTGCTGTAGGTTGACCTTGGCTGTGCCTACATAGATATAAAACGTGCCTCATTCAGGTGGATACTGGCCCAGTTTTGCCACTTAAGACTCGTGATAAAAACATCAACAGTGGCAAAAAATGCCTGGATGCTGCAGAAAAGCCTGAAATGCTGGTGATAGATGTCTAGTCTGCTTCTAATAGGGAGTGAAGTGATCCCTAACACAGCCTTGGTTCAGCAGCAGCACAGCCTGCGTCTCACTGCTGTGTGATGAGAAGAAAAGTTCAGCAGTACAATGGGAAATACTTTCCTGAGCCAACTTTGTTCAGAAGCAATTAAAAACGAGCTCTCTATTCTCTGATGTCCTCGCCTGTCATGTGGTTCAGCACATTCTTTCCAGCTCCTTTCATGGCACAAACAAGTTGGGATGCTGCTGCTGCTGCAGCTCCTCGTTTGGAGGGTTCAGTGGGGGAAGATGCTGAGCAGTTCCAGGGGCTGGTCCTGGTGTGAGTGAGCTCAGCTTGGCTCTCCTGGAGCAGCAACCACCCGAGGTGTCACATCACAACGTGACCTTCCCAGGGCTATTCTGCCCTTCTTCTCGGAGAGGATGAGGAAGTAAAACAGTATGGGATGAACAGAGCCTCTACCAGCTCCACCAGGCTGGAGGACATGGTCACTTTGGAGGGGATTTTCTTTTGTTGGATGATGTTAGTCACAGCGTGGTGTGTGGCACAGAGCAGTGAGGCAACACTGTGATCTGCTAACAATAAAAGCGAGGTGGCTCGTTGCCACTCAGCACTGCAAAATGTACAGGCAGGAGGGTTTTCCTTCACACAGCTCTGTCCATGCATTTCCTGGAAGAGGGACAAGGCCACACAGCTTCAATCCACGAAGACAACAGCGAGTAAACAAGCTGTGTTACTGTGTAGTCTTCTCTGAGTGACAAGAGTCAGAGACTGTTTGTGGCCATGGAGGAAAACAGGGAAAAATAATTTCACCATCAGGGTGGGAAGGGAATAGAGCCTTTCCTGAGTCTCATCCAGGTCCCCATCAGCCCCTCCAGCATCTCCACATTAGTCCCTGATCCCTTCCAGGGCTGTAAGGACAGAGGCTTTATCCCATTATCTGAGGACACCATTAAAATATGTCAGAAAAGGGATGGTTAAACACTGTCTTCAAGTCATGCCTCTTTTTAATGTGTTTTTTTATTTCATCATCTTCTACTGCTCCAAAGGGAGAAGCAAATGGTTTTTAGGGGAATGTCTCCATTGAAAAATCTAGCACTGGGGCTGTGTTTTTCTCCACAGGAGCGAGGAGAGGGAGGAAAAGCATGTGCAGGGATTTCTCTCATTCCGGTTCCTCAGGAGGAACAGCCCCTTGCAGCACTTCTGGCTCTGGAGGAAACATCTGTGGCTGTGGCCAAGTTCCTCGGGCAAACACCCCGCAGTCAGGGGCAGGCTGTTGTGTACCAAATGCTTTTATTTCCTAGTTGCCATCTATTAAAGATTATCTCCCTGCAAGAAAAGTGCCCCATTTCCCATGTTTCCATGTGTAATGTCCGTGATGTCTGCTATAAACATCATGAAGCGTTTCCCTGCCCCTCCACTGACATAGGTAGAAAAGTCACTGCTTTTCATCTTTCAAAGCACTGCAGAAATGTTTAGGGTCGTGTATCCTGCCATTGTTCTGGGCTGGGCATCCCACTGAAGTCCCTGGGAGAAATGAGTTCAGGATATGGATCTATCTAGTCAATCTTTGCTGTGGCCCCAGTAACATCCACGTTTTACAGATGGGAAAGCAAGGACGGCGGAGATGGCTCCTGATAGACTGGATGTGACTGGTAATTCCCACCACTTTAGAAAACAACAAGAAAACAGGCCAGAAATCAGGAGCTCTCAAAAAAAAAAAAAAAAAAAAAAAAAAAAAAAAAAAAACAAAAAACAAACAAACAAAAAAAAATCAACAAACAGAGAAAACAAAAAAACCCAACCAAACCCCATAGTGTGGTAGTTGTTTGGACTTGGATGTCCCAGTGGAGACCTTTGGCATCGTGGTCTCTCTGCCTCCACACACCAGCCAGAGCCTCTGGGGAGCTTTTAATCCTGCAGGTCCTCCTGCTCCAGAGCTTTCCAGTCAAGGAACCCAGCACCTAACACCCAACAAGGCCTCTCTCCAGGTCAGGCACAAGCCACAGCTCTTGCTCTGTGAGACAAGACACAAAACAGAAATGGAGATACTTTTCCCAAAACATGCCACCTCCAGAGGTCTCACAAGTCCCACAGGGGTGTTGTGGTCCACCCATCCCACTCAGGAACATGTGGAGCTAAACTAGGGTGATTTTCTCTCTTTGAGGAATAAAGCAAACATACAGGACTGTTAGATGGGATCAAAAAAAGGGCAGGGAAAGAAGTGAAACATTCATGAACTGAGGCAAAAGCTGCTACGTTTCTAAGCATTACGGTATCCACTGCTGCCACTCCTTAGTATTTTTGAGTGCATAATTGTTCAGACAAGAGTAATACTTATATTTTTCCAGAGGGATATCGTGTTTTCAGAGTGTTTCCAGGCACCTGCACTGCTTAAGCTCCAGAGTGCGGTGTTTCTATCTCTGAAGGAGGTGGTTGCTGGTCTGCAGTGGCTTTTCTTTACCACCACAGAGGAACACAATTGCTGCAGCAAGTTCTGCTCCAAGTGAACTCTTGGTACTCTTAAGTCCCTGCAAAACTTTCCAGGCCATGTCATCTTGCTTTCCCAGGTGTGTTTGCTTATTTTTTCAGTAATTAGCCTGAAGCTGAGCTGAGCCACAGAACTACACTTTCTGTGCCATTCTGGGGTTTTTAACTCCTGTTGCTTTAAATAAAGAAACATCTGTGCTCAGGCTCATGTTCACACCAGCATAAGAACTACCGGTCAAGTGGCACTGCCAGTGTCCCCACACCTCTTTCCGTGATTAAACTGAGGTTGTTCGA